CTCTCCGCTTTACACACGATGTAAAAATACACTTTGAAAGAACAACGAGACGTTCTTATATGATGATTTTCTCTCTTACAAAGTTTTGTAACAGTTCACTTTGCTGATCGAGCTAGGCGCTTGATCTCCTTTCAATTGCGTTGAAATTTTCACGATCAGTCTTACCCGACGTCCACGTGCTAGCATCGTCGTGGTTGCCGATTACCGATTGTGGTTCGATGACCGCCTCGACCACGATCGCGTCGTCTGTGTCGTCGTCGTGGTCCATCGTTGGCAGGAACCTGTCGTTTTGCGTGCCGAGCGAATTCGACGACTCGCTGTTGATCGAGTTTAGGGAGAACGACGAGATCGTCGACTGCGCGCTATCATTTTTCAGCCACTCGATCGCAACGCCTGTTCAGTCGAAAAAAAATCAGTCGGACGAAATCAAAATGGACGGCGATGGTGAAATCGAGTGGTGAAATCGAGTTACCTGTTTCCTCCTGATTTTGCTGCTGATGCTTTTGTTCCTCGTTTGCTGCCGGTTGGCCGCCGCCGCCGCCGCCGCCGCCGCCGCCGGTTTGCTCGTCGTGACGAGACGACAAGGTAGCCGCGTTTATCGTCGTTTCCTTGGACAAGTCCCCGTTCCCGTGAGACAGCGGTGGAGGTCTGACGAGATCGTCGGGTCGGCAAACGTCGTTCACGCGGCGCATAGGCGCCGTGCATTGGCAACGTCCGAACAAGTTTGGAATCAGGAAATCGCAGTGAGAATTCCGCTGCCACAGTCGACAGTGGGCGTGCTCGTAGCAGATCTGGCCGAGTTTCGCCGCTGAAAATGGTTACGAAAATGCGCGACGACGTACGCGTTGGCAATTCGTTCGTCAGGATAATTAGGAGTTACGCTGTCGATAAGAGTTAAAAAGGTTGTGTTTAAAATTTTTGAAATTTTTACACATCTTTCACAGATTCCTCGGCTGTAGACAATTTCAGTTGCAAAATTGCGAACAAGTTTCTCGATCGTTTAACAACGATGCGGACAATGCGTGCGTGCTAACAGCGACTTTATGATTCTGGATTACGCTTCGCTAACACTTGCTTTATCACAGTTGTAGCATCAGTGTAGCTAGTGAT